CTCAGAAGCCTGGTAACGAGGGTTACCCTCAGTAGCCTGTCAATGAGGATTACCCTCAGAAGCCTGGTAACGAGGGTTACCCTCAGAAGCCTGTCAATGAGGATTACCCTCAGAAGCCTGGTAACGAGGGTTACCCTCAGAAGCCTGTCAATGAGGGTTACCCTCAGAAGCCTGGTAACGAGGGTTACCCTCAGAAGCCTGTCAATGAGGATTACCCTCAGAAGCCTGGTAACGAGGGTTACTCTCAGAAGCCTGGTAATGAGGGTTACTCTCAGAAGCCTGGTAACGAGGATTATCCACAGTAGACGCAGGGTTCAATAATTTACTTGATCAAATGAATTGAATTTGAATTAATTTGGTTTTAAATATCAGTTCCTAATTCATGTTGGATTTGGTAATATAAATTTGAATGATTTACTAGGTTAAAACTTGAATGATTGACGATCTAATCCACAGCATTGAGAAAACCGATAATTAATGAAAAATGTGCGTAATTGTTGGTCTTTCTACTTAATTATTGAGTTCAATAATAAAGTTCATTTAGTTAAATACCGACTAGAATGTTTGTTGAATAACTGCTGACATGCCGCCTGATATTTTCAATAGGGTAGCTGAGGCTGGGAGCTGCCGTATGCAGATGTGTGGGAAACTCCCACGCTATGCAGCCATGCCATGCATAGTATGCAGGTATGCTGACACTGCATGCCCTGCATAGTATGCAGTGCCCTGACACTGCATACCGGCATGGTATGCAGGAATGCTGACACGGCATAGCCAGCATAGCGTATATTATTGACTTGGTCAAGGGGGCCTTGTCTTGCTGAAGCTATTAATTTGATCATGTGTTCATAGGCTATTGATTTCTCAGATTACTTAACAATCGGAGCAAATAATGCAGTGCTTTACCTCTTCATTCATTACGCTCCCTAATCAGAGCAACTCCCATGAAGTAAATCTTCGAATTCATTTTCAATCAAGCCCCCCTTTGGGTTCTAAATAACGATCAATTCAAGACACATTAAGTCGTCCTATATGGGAATTATCTTGCAGAGTACGAGCCATGATTGCTTTTTTATTTTCATTGACCGCTGCGCTACACCAGCCAGCCACGCCCCTGCAATGGGTGAACTCAACCTCAATGTGCATCTTGTGCAAAATTTCAACGCAAAAACACTAAGTTAAACTGAAAAAACACTAACTTAAACTGCAAGCGGGCAGTTGAGCATTCATATGCACTCAATGCGACCGCAGCAGCTGCATGTTGCCGACGTGTTCCCATGATAACCATTACCATAACGAGACTTGCAACAATAACCATTACCATAACGAGACCTGCAACAATAACCATTACCATAACGAGACCTGCAACAATAATCATTATTCTAACGACAACAATAACCATAACCATCAGCTGGCTGACCGCGCCGGCATCAGAGGCCCTCTTTAATGTGGAGAGTATCAATCAAGTGCGACATCAGTGCGTCGGTACGCACCGAAATGCGCCGGAAATCGCCGACATGCTCCAGAATGCACCAAAACGCGCCGAAATACGCGGGAACGCTGCGGAATGCGCCGAAATGGGCCGGAATACAGCGGAATGCTCCGACATGCTCCGGAATACGCCGAAATTAAAGTGCCGGAATGCACCAAAGTGCCCCGATATGCGCCGGAAATCGCCGACATACTGCGGAATGCACCGAAACGCGCCGAAATGCGCCGGAATGCACCAAAATGCTTAATTTCCCCCTAACGAGATCACTTCCAGATTCGGAAACTTGCGCGCGGCTAAGCTTAACGTGCACTAAAAAGTTGAAAACATTTTTAGGAATTTAAATTCCTGCACCAAAACGTTGAAATTTTTCCAACGCATGTTTTTGATGTGGGTTGGAATACGGAGCCAATATAAATTTCAGAACAAAAGAGTTAACTGCGAATTCAAGCAACAATTTTTTAATAAATCAGGAATTTTCCGTTTGGTAAGTTTTGTCTACACAAGCTTCATCTACACCAGCTTCATCTACACAAGCTTCATCTACACAAGCTTCATCTACACAAGCTTCATCTACACAAGCTTCATCTACACAAGCTTCATCTACACAAGCTTCATCTACACAAGCTTTATCTACGCAAGCTTAATCAACACAAGTTTCATCTACACAAGCTTCATCTACACAAGCTTCATCTACATAAGCTTCATCTACGCAGGCTTCAGCTACACAAGCTTCTTCCACACAAGCTTCATCTACGAAAGCTTCATCTACACAAGCTTCATCTACAAAAGCTTCATCTACACAAGCTTCATCTACACAAGCTTCATCTACACAAGCTTCATCTACACAAGCTTCATCTACNGCTTTGTCTACACAAGCTTTGTCTACACAAGCTTTGTCTACACAGGCTTTGTCTACACAAGCTTTGTCTACACAAGCTTTGTCTACACAAGCTTTGTCTACACAAGCTATGTCTACACAAACTCTTCACTAATTTGCTTATTAGCCAAGCTAGGAAATACATTGGAAGTTTTCATGGATATTTTCCAACACTCACAACTAATAAACTACCTAACATTATTTCCTCTGAGTAGTACAGAAGTGACAACATTATTCCATGGCTGAAAATGTAGCTGCACAAATAGGTTAAAATAGTTAAGACAAATATTGAGTTAAATCATTCACTGCTTACGTTGGTGACCTCCACTCCAAACGTGCACTGCACATGTTCATAAGAACTTCTTCAATCTTGGCATGTGAGATGGCATTAAAATTGTATCAAGGTTTGATCCCTATCAAAATTAAATCGCCCAGTTGACTTGTCTGAAAATGCAGATTTTAGAATGTTAAATCAATTCGAAATGGTACAGTAACCTATTCATATTAGGCAATAACCGCTGTGAAATACTTTTTTATAATAAACTCATAAATTAATGCCATCCTGGAGTTGGTGAATATATATTGAACAATTAAAACGTCGAAATGAAAAGAAAAATCGAACGTAAAGAAACACTTTCACCGTCCCTGCTCTAAAATGCCCGTTTTCTTCGTTGCCAAATTTTCTAACCAAGTGTTTGATGGCGAACAAATGTGACGAAAAGATTAAGTTATGTGAGAGATGGTACGACTTTTGTTGTTCCTTTTTGTGATGCATCCTGCTGCCTCCTACTACTGCATCCGAAATAAAAATTTTGTTAAGAATATGCTGAGGCCACAGACTTCATATTGAGGAAATTCTGTTGATAATTAATGTCTGAAGTTGCTGCAGTCTACCCTGATGTCCTGAAACGAGACCGTGTCATTCCAGCTTGTAAATCCGGCAGCTCTAATAATGTGACTTACAAATTTGCTTGACAAATTTCGCTTATATCTGATAATCAATTTGGCTTCCGTTAGGTCACTCACACGACTATAGAAATATTCTATTTAATCCAAGATCTAATTAGGGCATTCCATACTTAAAACCTATGTGTTGATCTTTTTCTCGATTTGCAAAAAACCTTCGATTGCGAATATCGTTAAATTTTTCTAAGTAAACTTTACCGATATGGTATCAGGGGTCATTTTCAGTCATTAATTCACTTATATCTAACTAATAGAGAACAATACGTTTCATTGAACAAGTTCAGATCACCTATTAGACCAATTACGATTGTACCACAGGACTTAGTTCTTGCACCTCATTTCTTTAACATTTTTATAAATGATATTCCCTCTTCTTTTAACGTGAACTGCAAGCTCTTTGCTGATGACGCTGTATTTTATATCTCTAGAAGTACCTAACATGACGCATGTGATAGTATATCGGGGCTGCCTGGGAATTATAGTCAAGTTGGTTATTAGACAACAAGTTAGTGGCGCACGCTGATAAAACTAAACTGATGTTTTTTACTCCGAAACCCGTTTCAGTTTTTGGAACATCCCCTTCAATTTAACAATTTCAGATTGGGTCGACGATTTTTTATATCTGACTTTATCCTCGACAATTAACAATATTTCTTTTAAAAATACATTACCTACAATTGACAGGCTACATGCTCTATTCAGCTCTTGCCTTTCTCCTCATTGAAATTTTTTTTTTATTCATTGTTTTTATCTAAACTTTCAAACACAGTCGTCACGTTAATTAAAAATAGACGTCACGTTAAGTAATAAGTCAATCTTTAGGGCTAGATAAATTAGCAATATCCCGTTACTCGTACCACCGAATTATATAGGCAGTCGAAAATCTTAAAACTGGATGATATGTTCAGATTTCAACTTTAAAAATTCGTGAATAGGGCACTTTTTCATTACAAATGTCCTTTTGAATCTGTTTTCGTCCCTTTTGTTCCTCGCCACATTACCATAACCGAGGCGTACGCTTTAATTTAAGCCTGTTCGCTTGGAAATAGAAAAACACGCTACAGTTTTCAATTGTGTAAAATATTTTAATGAGTTGCTGGACGATTCCAAAAAATAATGTTTCAAATTCTTTTTAAAAATGTAATTCCGTGATTTTCTATTAACTCAGTATTAATTTGATAATGGTTATTATATAGGTTTTTTAGCACAAAGGAGAACCTATTCTTGATGAGCCAGGATGGGGTTTCCACTGTTCACTGCTCCTGGTGGGGGCGGTCGCCCCTGTAGACGTTGTCGGCGAAGCAGCCCCTGGCCACCGACCTGATCAAGTTGTCCGGCAAGCCCAGTAGCGACATCTGCAGTACCGAGTTATAAGTAATTATATCATTAGTTTTCTTAAATTGCACCTTCACCTATCAATTTAAAAGCAAAGAAAACGCAAGTAAATTCACCATGTCTGTACAAAATCGTATCGGAGACCAGATTCAGGGTCAGTTAAAGAAAATTGTGGAGAATACAAATACAATCAGCAGTGAAAAATCTAAATATGCACGATAGAGATTAAAACTTTGTAACAAAAAAAGACAACGGAATATAAAACTTATCGATTTTCCTAAAAAAAAAAAGAGAATAAGAAGAGAGACAAGGTTTCCGTTCAAAAGGTGCGTTACTGAGACAAAGTTTCCGTTTAAATAAAAGGTTATTTATTGCAATGTTCAGAGCACATGCAGGAGGCGTATATAGTATTTCCAGTGAGGGTTCTAAGTTTATAAGATAAGGCCGCTGATAGGCTTGGGAAAAACAGTACATGTTACATAAATATCTTAAATTTCATTTGAATGATATTTTATATACTCAGAATATTCCGCAATTATTAGATTCCTAATCTTGAGTTTCAACGAGTTTCGAGAAAACTTATAAAGCAATTACGTTGATGGCGTCGGCGCTTCTAAGAACTAAGTCACGACCAGCGGGGAATATTTCAATGTCATCATTTATAGTATCATCTGTCATGTGTGGGCTCTCAAGCAGGAAAATTATTAGATGTTCTAAGATAACTTGATACTGTTGTCACGTCAGTAATATTTAACTGATTGACTGATGTATGTCGTTGTGTTATCACTGTTATCGTTGTTATGGTTTTCATAGTTGAAATAGCATCGGTTTAGCAATTTTACTCTATACCCGTTATTGAACGACTCGTAACACTTGCATTACAAATAAGTTCAAAGGCACTTCATAAATTCTACGAGCTGAAAAGACTTCTGTCTGTAAATTATTTGCAGATTTTCCTCTACTTTTACTCTGATTTAATTTCTCACTTGAAAATAGTCGTAAATGAGAAGCACTGGGCAGAGATTAACGAAACTTCGCTAAGTACACGTAACTTTTCGTACTTACGTTCAAAAAGTTTCGTATTGCGTAAGTCAGTCAAAATTTGGCATTAACAAAACTGTCTTACGCAAGACTCATCTGAAAAGGTATTATCGAAACCATCCAACTAATTGACCAATCAGAGGTTTCGAATTTGCCATTTCTAGGATTTTAGCTCCTGTCGACTGATCAGTGCGCAGTGCGCGTGGATGGAAGGAGGTTGTGTCGTGTCAGCGTCATCTGCGTTGACTGACTAGGGAGCATATGGAGAAATGAGTAAGACGTTGTCTAAATAGCAATGACAACGCCTTGATTGTAATTTTTTGCAGTCAAGGCAAAAAATTACATTTTTCCCATTCAAAATTTGAGGACTTTTTAGAGAGCTACCTAGAATTTAGAACATTTTGTGAGTTGGAGTTCAACTATCAGCGGAGAAAGAAAGGAATTTGTGTGCGTAGCTAGAAAAATGATTGGCTTGTCAAACTCCACTTAGTTTTGAATCAAAAAGTAATGAAGATATTATTTTAGTGAATGATCATAAAACTCCTAGATATGAATATCAATATTTGCTTGCAAATTATAGCACAAAAGGAAAAGAAATTAGCTGGCGGAACTTAACTTAATTAACTAACTTAACTAACTAACTTAACTAATTGACTTAACTTAATTAATAGAACTGGAACTTAATTGAAATTTTCTTCTCAAAAAGCACCATTTAGCTTTAGCACGATCACATATTATGCTTATGTTGAATTATTGACAAAATTCTACCACAATTTACCGTGTTGCAAGTAAATCAATAGTTTTATATTGCTTCGGCACACTCAAAACGTCTACGTAACTCCACTTACGACACCTCCGAGCAGGCGTAGAGCTACATGTACGTACTGCTTCTTGAACGTAGCTTGCCGCGCATATGTTTTGATAATACCACCGCTAGAGTTACTTCTTCATATCAGCACTTACGCCACACGTAAGTCGCTACGTGTACTTAGCGATGTTTTGATAATCCGGCCCCTGATCGTTCAAGGCGTTCCAGCCTCAAATTCGTCCTGAGAATTTATGTAAAGAGCGGAAAGTGTGAAAATACATGTATCTCAATTTCATATAAATTCTTCCTGTAACATTTTTGTCCCAACGCTTAGTTGCCTTATTTTATCAATATAGAAGTTTACTTGGCAGTTCAAACCCTTCATTCTCTGTTCACACGTGCCTTCGAAGCGTACTATTTTGATAAGTTGAATCGAATTTTTAATCGAAATGTTTCAATTATTAATTAAAAATTCAATATTTTCTATTAATCGTACAGAAATGTACATATTGTCCGAAGATCCTTAATAAAACATTTGAAAGTACACGAGTTGAAAATTCGCCTGGCCTTCTTTATCTTATCTTAGATAACCTCGTTATCTAAGACATAAGAAGTTAGCAGGGAAACTTCATAACTTCGTTTAGTGAGAATTCCGGACGATAATTTAGACGATATTTTGATTAGAAACGTTAATTATTTGGACGGGAAGCCAATTCTTTATAACACATGCCAGTTCTCACGCGGTAATCACTGGACGAAGTGGTCCTTGACAAGCCCCTGAGGAGACACCTTCAAGTGCCCCGATGGTGAAAATAAAGCAAGTGTGCAGCCAAGCTTTGGTCATTGCAGGCCGCGAAGTTAACAAGATGGGAGCTTACGTGCACCTCTTCCTTTCATTTCTTGCCGTGATATCTAACTACAACGCCCAAGCCTTCGGTGAGGCTCCTTGAGATGGTAGCTGGGATTTTTGAGATGAAGGCAATTGAAGGAGAAGTTAAAGCAAATGTCATAACAATACGATTTTTAACTCTCTTGATTTATGACTCAGAATTTGTAAACACGACATTAGTATTGTTAATTTGTGAGATATTTTTTGTGTACAGTGAGTGTGGAAACTACATTTAAATTGTGGATTACGAAATTTTGAATTCTAAAATTGTTCACTAGGAAGCAATATTAAACTTTTAAATGTGGTCCAAAAATTCAAGCCGCCCCAGTTTCTTTCATAAATAAAACTAGAAAATGAACGTCTCGACTCTGGCATCTGGTACTTTGAGTCTCAGTCGAAAAAACGGCCTATTCCTCGAATAAAAGACGACCTATTCCTCGAATGAAAGACGACATATTCCTCGAATAACATTCGACCTATTCCTCGAATAAAAGACGAACTATTCCTCGAATAAAAGACAAACTATTCCTCGCATAAAAGACAAACTATTCCTCGAATAACATAAAGCCGAAAAACGAAAAGACGACCGGCAAGTTGCGCCAACTTCCGTAACTTGTACTGACAACTCCTTTTGCCACTTGCGTGTGTTGCTTCCTTTAAAGCCATATTGAGGGCTTATTGCATGCAGATATGCACAAATATATAATTAAAAATATACAGGTTTTCATGGTCGATACGCGAAAACTTGACCGGCCGACTGGCAGGAAAATTACTTTAATTGGACATTAATGTTAGTGTTCCGTTGAAATGTCGTTGTCGTTCCTGATTGGTTTATGGAATAAAGTTGCAGGCTTTTTTTCTTTGAGAAGTTTTTGGGTCGAAGGTACTTTGATCAAATCAATAGGCACCATTGCATCTCGAATTTTTGGACCTCAAATAATCTCCCAGAAAAGTTAACGACAATATCATGTTGTTACTTGCTGAGATGCAGCTGAAACATCTCCATTCTTTGTGTCTAAGCAAAATTAGTCTAGCTTGGTTCATGGAAATTAATTTGGTTCACTACTTCCTAAAAGTTGCATATACTTTTTGACCCGCATCGAGCTGTGACGCGTGCGGCAGATTTGCCTGGCAACTCCCATGCACTTATACCGTATCGTGATGTTGATGCAAATTTCGGTGGTTGCTGTCATGAACTTTTACATCAATTCCTCTCAGTCGTCACGTTGCTTCATAACATTGCCACCAAAATATTGGCACGGGATTAAAGTCGTAGTCTTCGATAGACTAAATCCAAATTTACGTTAAAAATAATCCACTTTGAGGTTGTTGCTTGTTGCGAGCATCCAAAAAATAAGTCCTAAAACTCGTATTATGCAATTATCGCCATCAGACATCCCCGACCGGCGGTACCTGAAAGCCTACATCAGCGATGATCCCGACGGCCCCTACCACGAGTTCCTGGACTACTCCCCCGACCTGAGGGACCAGGGCCTCGATAACTCCATTAAACGCGTCTGCTTGACTGGATTGTGAGCAACCTATTCACGCGCGGCTTCGTTGAACTCATTAAAAGCATCATGGGCAATGCATGAACGCCATAAATCTACCAGTGATTTACAGCGGATAATCCGTACATTTCAGAATTAGCTCTCAACCCCCGCTCCTCAGTCAACTCACCTTCGACAGATTGAATAGATTGATTCCACCTCACTTTTTCTTACAGAGCTCATATATAGGTAATAGTGCACAGCTATCATCTCTTCAGTAGTGGTGCACGGTTGTAGTTTCATTGGTATACTTTGGCCTTTTGTCATTTCGAAAAGTGATATATATCTGCCTACAATTCGTATTTGCAATTAAGATGCATTAGGTTTGTTTGCTTGATGAATGTAAAAAAGAATGCTAAAAGGGTATAAATTTTACTGATTAAAAATTTCAACATTCCTGCTTTCAGTTGGTTGTTATACTCAGATTACAACTACAGTGAGGAGTCCAGTGAAAGATTGGGACCGGTTCATGTCAACGGTTGCGAAGCCTTGCCACCCTCATTATCAGTGAGCAAACAACGAATTTGATTTAGCATTAATACCACGAGTGAAATGTTCTCTGATAAATGCAAAACTTTAAATTATCCAATATTAATATTTCAACAATTACAATACTATCACCTTTCAGACGTCGTCTCTACGGTACGCGGGCAGCCCCTACCACCTGGACGACTCCTACTACAACCTCTACGAGGGCATCAAATACCGCGGGCAGGAATTCAGGGGCAACACCAACGCCGACTCGTTGCTGGAATTCGACTTGAGGATGTCTTCTGTGATCATATGTGGACAGTCGCCGTGGACTTTCTTCACGTACGTTGAAACAACTGGGATTGTGTTTTATCATTAAAGTAATTTTACAGGTTTTCAATGAAATTACGTGGTTTAAAAATAGAATTGAGACTTGCACAGTTTCGAGACATGTTGATTTCAACAGACAAAACACAATTTTATAGCCTTGCTGTTATCGGCGGATGACTTATTGCCATCTTACTACAAGAGAAGCCATCATCATGCAAATATCCATGCAGTGAGGCAATAAGCTCGTACAGTGATGCAGCTAATGGTCAATAAATCAACAATAAATCCAGCCAATTACATTGAAACCAGTTAACACCAACTGGCCAAATGGGACGCCTGTCGGAGACCACCACTGCCGTGCTTCGAATGGACTATCATGATCCCTTCCCTGAAGAACCTAGCCTACAACACTTCTTGACTGTAACATTATTAGGAGCACGCCACCAGACAGATCATATCCATTAAATTAGATCAATCAGCCTACAGGAAAATAGCCTGAAGTCGTATGGCCCAGCGTCGTCTGCCAATACGCGAAAAAATTTTACGCCACGCGGACGGAGCGCGCCGGAGCCGTCCGTATCTGTCCCGTGTGTCCAATCAGCCTACGGTCGAACGGCCACGCGTCGTACGACGATAAATTTTGGAACAGAACTATGCTATCTGAAACCTAACCTCAGATGCTGTGAGCTAAAAGTTACGTAATTTAGCGAAGCTGAGGAAGTCGCTCGTCGAAGGACGATAGATTTTGAAACAGAACTATGCTTTCTGAAACCTAACCCCAGATGCTGTGAGCTAAAACTTACGTAATTTAGCGAAGCTGTGGAAGTCGCTCGTCGAAAGACGATAGATTTGAAACAGAACTATGCTTTCTGAACCTAACCCCGGATGTTGTGAGCTAAAAGTGACGGTCTGGTGGTGCACGGCAGGATGCATGCAGTTCCACTGGCGACCTGGGGCCGTATTATCAAAACTTCGTAAGTACGCAAAAGCGACTTACGAGTGGCGTTGCTATGACAACGTAATACTAGCGGTGGTATTATAAAAACATTTGCGCGGGAAAAAAATTTAGGCTTTTAGCTAAGACTTGCGTACGAAAGTTTTGATAATGCCAAAATTAGGGTGTATTTACGTACCACAGAACTTTTTTGTCGTAAGTACAAAAATTTACGAAGTTTTGATAATCCGGCCCCTGGGCTGGTTGGTCGCAGTCAGTTGTCCGCAAGTTACAGTTCGAGCTAAAGTCAGGGTATGAAGTGATGATTCGATTCAAAGTTCTGTGGTGGACAACCATTACTATTTGGGCTATTCGCTTCAGAATATGGTGGCGTAAAGCACCTTATATTTAAAGCAAGATGATGTCACGGGCTGGTTACCGACGGATTGCTTAATCCACGGCTGATTGATGGTCGTCCGGAAATATGCTAGGCGTTCCTTTCAAGGCTGATTGGTGCACAAATTTGGTGGTGCACGGCTGCGTACCTGGCCAAATCTCCTTTGATCAATTGCTCTGTCGCGGCGCCCCCTTGCAATGCTTCCATGCTGCCGATAATAAGCAACATACATCCATGTCAAGCAGAAACACTTAAAAGCCTATGATATGATTTAACTATACCATTTATGAAAGTTTCAGGGGCGCAGCTGTTGGCCACAAGGTTTACTTTTAAATAAGCCCTGGAGCCAACGCCCAGCCTCACTATGCATTAACTTTACACAGCCTCAGAGCTAGAATCCGCAGACTATGCTTGAACTCCGTGATCCAGACAAGCGACACACTGCCGAAAGATAATAGCGCCGTAGGTTTCAGCCAATGCTTAAGCATGTTCGCTCATTAGCAGGCAGTTCCTCATCAGGCTGTACCTACTCCGGCCTAACCTCTTCTGGCCTAACCTATTCGCGCTGTCCCGGCTCGCAACCTTCTTGCAGCCAATGACTGGCTCTGCCAGCACACTTGGACCGCCTTTCTAACTTCCTGCAGCCAATGAGGTTAGTACGGTCCGCTCGGGTTTGTATTGGATGGAGAAATGTTGCAACTTGTGTAGGTTAGGTCTGAAGAGGTTAGGCCGAAAGAGACTTGGCCAGATGCAATGTGGCCATGCGTACCTTTAGCTAGCTTATTTTGTGGCTGTGGATATCCGAGGCTATGGCTTTGAGCACTTGACTTCATAGGCCGTTATGACCTCTAGGGCTCTAGCGTTCTTACCCACGGAAAGGAATATGAACTTAGTGTGAAGTTTGACAAAGCTGGTCTCCGGCATGCGCCCCAAAGTTTCTGCATGCAATGAACCTCCGGAGGGTGGAGAGCTAGATGTCAGCATAGCCCAAGTCCACGGTGCAATTCATATACCTTCCCGAGCGTAATCATGCATGAGGGCATAGTAGCCAGGCACTATAACGTGCCTAAAGCCAAAGTGGCCATTTCTCTTCATGGAAGTGAGTAAATAGGCCAAATAGCATCAAGCCATTTTAACAACAGCCGTGGTCAAAGCGCCAAACTGCAGCGTGGCTGTACTTCACGCAGCCGGGCATCTTCACGGCTTTCGACACAGAGCGCCCACCACAACAGCGCCGTTCAGTGACTTCAGTCACAGGAACTGTTTCACAGCGCCGGAGCACAACTGGCCGGAGCGCAGCAGGCCCTACCTACAACGCCTTACCCCGGCCCTACTCCTAACCTAACCTAACCTAACGTAAGGCGTTGTAGGTAGAGCCTGCTGCGCTCCGGCCAGTTGTGCTCCGGCGCTGTGAAGCAGTGGCTGTGTTGTGCAAAGCGGATTTACTGTTAGCCGGAGTGGTCTGCGGCTGTTAAGACTTACGTCACGAGTAAGAATGGATGGTGTGGAGTAAAAATCGGTTGAGCAGAGCCAGATTACCATTGACTATTGGATGTAGTGGTTTGTGGAGTAAGGCAGCGTTGACTTAAAGTTGGTGTGGTTGTTGTCGGGTCGTTCGTTCCGTTGGTTCAATGAAACGTGGCACAAATAACAGTTAACGGGCTTTATTCAGAGAACATGGAACAAACAGAGTTACACAGTTAAAGAGTGTTCGGGCGGCACGACCAGCATAACGGGGTTAAAAGGTCCGCACACGTGTAACACTGCTAAAAGACTCCCGGACCATCCCGCCACAGACTGACAACACCTCGTCACAGCGAGAAATCCGCTACAATTAAAACACGAGAAAATATGACAAAACCTAATACATTAATGAGGAATTACTTTAATTACCAAAATCATATTAAGATAGAAGGCTAGCGTGAGACAGGCGAACTCACAATAGTACAATATACAAAGGTTAAAAATTACACCCTACAACACACTCCCCCACCAGCCTCGTCTCACGCGACTTGCTGGAAAAAAGTTCAGGGACTAAATTTTTATTCATTCTTATTACAAACTTATCTTTAGATCTCAAGTTACCGGCCGTGAGGAACAACTCAAAGCCTGTAACGAACAAAACTCAAAACTTTACATAAAGCGTTAACTCTGAATTCGCCTAGTTACATCTCTATTGTTATGCACATCTTCTAGTGAACGAAACAAAATATTTAAAATTTTCCGTACGACATCTTACAATCTAAATCAGCCAATACAATTTACGCGCACCTGCGACATGCTTACATTAGAAAAGTATGACACGACATGCTATAAAATGCACTTACATGTAGGACAAGTTATTCCTATCAGCGTAAAAGCTTCACGAAAGGTTCAGAGTTCTTTTACGCCTTCTCTCAAGTACTTTGGGCTGAACATTAGGCAAATCACTGACAGATNTTGTTGTCGGGTCGTTCGTTCCGTTGGTTCAATGAAACGTGGCACAAATAACAGTTAACGGGCTTTATTCAGAGAACATGGAACAAACAGAGTTACACAGTTAAAGAGTGTTCGGGCGGCACGACCAGCATAACGGGGTTAAAAGGTCCGCACACGTGTAACACTGCTAAAAGACTCCCGGACCATCCCGCCACTGACTGACAACACCTCGTCACAGCGAGAAATCCGCTACAATTAAAACACGAGAAAATATGACAAAACCTAATACATTAATGAGGAATTACTTTAATTACCAAAATCATATTAAGATAGAAGGCTAGCGTGAGACAGGCGAACTCACAATAGTACAATATACAAAGGTTAAAAATTACACCCTACAACATGGTGATATGAGTCACTTACACACAGCTCATTGATCTGAGGCTATGTGTAGATATTGCATGCTGATGGTTGGCGTTGGGCCGAGGGCCTGTTTATACGAGTCAATTTTGTTACCCACGGCTGCGCTCCCCCTCCGGATACATCTGAAAATTTGGAAATTTTGAACCGCTCATTATGGTCCGATAAACACACGGGCGAAAATTTTAAGCAGAAACTTCTTGGCTCCATAATGTAATACTCTATTCAACTGTACAGCAAGTGAAAAAAATCCCGTGCAGCATTTAAAATGTCTTCTTTTTCCTACACTTAGATAAAGTGTGCTAAACAACTAAAATAAAATAATCAATAGATTCTCGAACACTTCAGCAGCAAAACCGGCGTGTTTATAAAAAGGTCGTAAGTTGCCGGTTAACCGGACGTTAGCAAACGAAACTGAATAATTAGTGTTAGTCGATTAAATAATTTAGTATATAATGCGCTCAAAATTTATTGTGGTAGCGTGGTTTTTGAGTTTTATTCAGGCCACGGTAGTGACGTTATTCAGCGGTGGACAAACGCAAGCATTATTCATCCATATACTGAAGGTTGAATGTGTGGGAGTCTCACAAAGATGCGTACAATTTCTGGTCAAATCAGAAAATTGATCCGGAAAGCGGCTAATATTTTAGTCAACGAAGGATGTGTGGGAAAATGTATGTAAAAAAGTATTATTTGGTTGGCAGGGGCCTGCAGTTCACCGGAGAGGCTGTGTGCTTGTATCCTACCCATATTAATACCGGCAACAACATTTCCCTTCATTGGAACTTTGCTCAGAACGTGAGTAGACCTTATAACTAAACATTGGGTGTAGCAGTGAAAGTGATGAATCTATCCGCAGACAGAAAAAAGGGTTAAGTATAATTTCCATCTGTTATTGGATATTGCTTCTTTCAGGAAAATATTTACAGTAGTTGAATAATACAATAAAATTTCATGAAGGTATTGCAGAACGTTTATGCATTTTATTTATGCAAGAACTTTATACGTTTTAATGTAATCCCATGCAGGGGATTCATCTCATTCTTCTCTTCAAGTCAAGAGTAGTAACTCAAGTGCACTCAAACACCCGACTGAAACATTTCTTCTGTTCAGCCGCTTGACGTCCATATAGGCTTGTGCAGCGGGTGATTTTAGAACGATAATTTCATAAGATTTTACTGCAGAAATAGAAATTTACAGTAACCGATTCCTCATTTAATTGAACATGAATCCTGGATTTTACAGGGGTAGATGCCACTCACCTGTGTTTAGTATTAAATCTTTGAATATCTCGTTACTGCAGATGTCGCAATTGGGCCTGCCGGACAACTCGATCAGGTCGGTGGCCAAGGGCTGCCTCACCGACAACGTCTACAGGGGCGACCGCCCCCACCAAGGGGGGCTTGGAGACGCAGTGGTATAGGTCTAATGACTTCTGGTTGTTTAGTACAGTTGTTTATTCGTTCAATGGTTTGAAGTTGATACTTGATAATCACGCTCACATATTCTTCTTTTTGCATGTGATGCAACCACCGTGTGCAATTACGTCGTGAAGGCAACACAGATATTTTCTAAAGTGAACAAACTACATAGTAGCAACGACACAAAACAGTGCCATGAAATCTGTGAAAATTATTGGCATTATATAATTGGTATTAAGTTACTATTATTTGGAAACACATGATGTATCTAGGCAGGCATAGTATTTCCCATAATAATTCTAATATTAATTTCTAATCACTATACCATTAATTCGTTCATGTCACATAGTGATAACTGTTGGGTTCCTTATGTGACATATAAATTTTAATCTGTTCTTGTATCTCAATGTATATCGACTTTTTCTGTCATCATGATTGAGAAAACATAATAAATAATATGAAACAGATTTTTGATAGCTTCTCTGCAGATCAATTCCAAAGAAATGTGAACCCAAATCATAATTCTAAGCGTCTAGAACAGACAGCTGTGCCTATACTTATTATCGGGCCCCGGTGTGTTGAGACGTAGCCGAAACAGACTTCCGATTGAACAAAATTTGCTAATATAAATTGAAACGTCAATAAAACCAGTAGAGTTATTTTTCGCATTACATGCATGGCTGTGTTTCATAATGCTGTCCCCGAGCGTTACGGTGCTAAATGGACAGAATAATTGAGAGAATTTGGGAGAAGTGGCAAAAATCTACGATTGTACTCATCATTCACAGTGGTGACACTCACTCAATGTTACTCGACGTACGTGAAGAAAGTCAACGGCGACTATCCATTAATGATCACAGAGGACACTTGCATGACCAAGTTGGCGACGGTTGCGGCTTTAATGTTGCTTTTGAATTCATTGCCCGTCCACCACGTCTTCTCGGATCTGACGTGGGAATAATTCTTTAATAGCCATCAGTTAAGCTGCTGGATCACTACCTGTGTGTGGTATCTCCGATGTCAGAGCAAAAGTGCTTTTACACGGTGCGACTAGTCGCGTCGCTTAGTCGAGTCGACTACAGTTTAGCCGGCTGAGAGCCTATACACGAGGAGTGTATTTTCGGTCCAGTCCGCTAGCGCCAGTGCGACGTTGGAAGTCAAGTAAAGTGAGTGCATGGTGGAAGCAAGCGAGTGTGCCACAGTTGTGCGCATTACAGCGACAAAGAGAGAGAGAGACGCCGCAGTTAGACAAACTACGAAGGCCGATGCGGTACTGGGCACACTCGAGTCGAGTCTCGACTGGCTCAAAACAACGTGTGAGGTGCTTTGGGCGCAATGCACCAGCTGGTCGCCTCTGAAGACGTTAATCATCACACATATTTATAGAGTCGACTCAACTATTCGACGCAACTAGTCGCCTCATGTATAAGCACCTTAATAGTGCTAAAATTCATACATTGTTTTATAGTGCGTAATTGTCGAATAAAATTTTGGTTTTGTCGTGTTCAAGGATTTATTATCTCTTCTGTTTATAGGATCACACAATTAATTTTGTGAAACTCCCAGCTCTATCTCTCTCCTTACGCCTCCGATTTGTTATTGTTTCTATCGTTTCATGCGCTCGATTTGATTCGTGTATTGTTTGCCGCTTATGTTTAAATATATCCACTATAGCAATGCCATTCGTGTTTAAAATTCCTTTCTACCTAAAGCCTTTCTTAATCACCAATAGGGAAGCGTTTTACAAAAAGCGTCCGGTCATAGGTGGGTGAGACGAGACCATTCCGAACCTTACGGGTGGTGCAACCGGTCATTGAATATCGTTCAGGTGGGTTCGTTCGTCACAGATGTCATCGCTATCAGAAAAATTCTGATGTTACCACTGAAACAAAATCGGATCAAGTTAAAAGTGCTGTCACAATTAAATTCTTCGAATCAAATTTTAGGTAGGAATTAAGGTGATGTTTCTGGAAGAATTCATTATTACGTCCAAAAGCAATACTTCGCCTTCACCTATAGGGCACCTAGACTCGGTACATAATATCATTGGTATTTAGTCAAAATTCTGCCTTGTATATGCCTGTGAGTGCAGCAACCTCGGAGATTTTATGCTGATTATTGAGTAAAGTAAGTTTATTAATATTTTATGTCCTCTCATATAGGTTATACATTGACAGCAGTCCGTTGCATAATAACTCATGAGAATTATGGATCTCCTTCTCGTGAGTTTTTGTAGCGAACAAAACTTGTCTCGCTTAATCATCATGAATTTGATTCTTATTCATACCCCACTGTGTCCTTTGGTATTGACTCCTATCACATATTGACTTATATCTCTATCTGAATTGGGCATTTTTTAGATGGACAGAAAACAATAGCTCACACCTGGGATCTCTTTCATGCCAAATTCGCAATGCCGGCACCCTGGGCTTGTCGTGGTAACCTCATATCGTGTTACCATCTTATCTTATTTGCCTATTATCGTGTTTACCTCTCAGTACGTTAACAGACCTCCCACTTGTGCAATTAAAGGTTCTTAATGCAGTTCTCAAGTCAACCTGCAGTCATTAGGAGGCACAAGCCGCTACGATCCATGGGAGCTTTTTTCTTCGTCTTTCTATCACTTCTGCATGGTAGCGACATCAAGGTGCACCGTCACAGCTTTCATTGCCTTTTGATAAGGCAGCCAGGGATTTTTGTGCCTATTATATGAGAAAAGTAATAAAACATAAAGTGCCATACCAACCAAATTTTCACAATACTTCAAGTGGTGAACAAGAAACGAGAATGTTGTCACTTTAGCTTAGGTTCTTGCGGATAAAAAGGAGATTTTCGTGTCAAGAAAAGCTTAAATCCTGTTGCACATGTAGCAATTCGCTAAATTTCACGAAGGGAATGATTTCTCAACACATTTATTCCTTAATGTTTCAAGGCATTTTGAATGTTTGCGAAAACATTACTATACGATGTATCGTCTGCATCTGGGAACTGTGGTAAGTTAGGCATTTGAAGTCAGTCTCCCGCCAATTTCCCTGTCGTGATGGCGATTGCGTTTATACTGGCTGCTGTCAAACCGTTCATGTGTATTATATATTCTTCCTGGTCTTAGTGCATCGACTTCACCGCCGAAATGTAAAAACTCGTTTTGAAATTTAATGAAGATATCATGAATCTTGAACGGAAAAACGGTCATTTCATTCTATGTGGTGCAAAATTTGCAATTATTGCGCGCTTTTAATGAGGAAAAGTCGACATTAATGTTCCGCAGCGCTATTTGAAATGAAATATCTTTCCTAATAGATGTGTGTATTGATTGTGATATGGCAATTCACCACAACATAAGGGCATTTATCTTGCTAACACCCACTAGATAAGGGTTTACGCTCAGACTAAACAAAGTCCGCAGGTCAGGTAAGATAAAATTCATATGTATCACCTAAGGTGTGATTGTAAGTGTTGTTATGACCATAGTATCAATGACATGCTTGAACATATTACACTAAAAGTTTGTATGTTGAAAGTATATACATTTATAATGGATTTTTTTTGTAAAACATTTTAAAATGTAGTTTGTTACTTTAATGATAGCAATTTGCAAAGGCCATGACCCCATGAGCATGGGTCAAATTATTTAATTTGTGAACCTGTGTGCTTTTGCTTATTGGGTGACTTCCGTCAGATTTAAATTTTAGGATTTAGAGTAGGAATAAGATCAATTTGTTTGACAAAGATAAAGTAGGTAACTGATTTTGCCCTGAGGCTTATTTCAAGTGAATCATCTTTCATAGGCAAAAGGTATTTTGCTATTAATTTGATAACTAAAAAATTAGTTTACTCTCCAGCAAATTCATTAAAATTCAATTACATTGTTAGTAGATACCTAGGTACGTATCTGCGCAAAAGATTGTCTGGCAATGAACATTGAATTACCCAACAAATGCACTCACCAGTTGATTCAATATATTTGTTATCAGCTGCCACCTTTTTCTTCAATTGTGTTTTCATATCGTAAAATTTTTTACGGACTTCTGCTGCATCTCTCTTTACTGTTGAGACACAATTCACACAATCTGTTACAGCTTGCCATTGCAACTGCTTAACTTTTGAAGTTATTTTTCCGTCTAACTTGCCAAATAGAATGTCACGTCTTTTGAAAGTAGCAGTTGTTATTGCCATCAGTTCTTCCTCGGTGAAATTCAGTCTTCTTCTTTTATGTTCCATTTTTTAAACAAACAATTCTCTGAATTTTGATCAATAAAGGTAAAATGGTATTATAAGTAGGCATTGCATTTAATAAATTGTAGTTTGAGAACTAATAGTGATGTTAAGAATATTGATTAAGCTTCAGCATTAATGAATAAAAAAATCGGCAAAAGTAAATCAAAAGAGGTAGCTAATAGAGGTAATTTCCAAAATGGTTTACTTCATGAAATGAATCCACTTTGCACAGACACTAGTAAATTATAATTATCCATCGCATGGGCACAATTTTCAACGCAGTCATTACAGGCAAGACGCGTCCTTCTCATGTGCACCTTCTGAAAATTTCACTTCGACTGTTCACAATGTAAAAGTCACAATAAATGTAGTCGTTTGCTATTCAAAAAAGTCATTTACCTATGCAAAATTTGTGCAACGATGTCTAAATGACAAGATAACTGATAAAAATTGCGAAACCATGGGACATCAATGCTCCACGTAACCTGACTTTAAAGTAAACAAAACCCTGCGCGCTGATTGGCTCTTGAGCGGGAGTGTTTGAAGGTACCGATTTACAAAAGTGTTGCCAAAGAAGTTTTTGAAGGTACCGAAAACCACTGTTCTTACGCTACACTTAACTTTTTGCGCTCAAGTGTAAAAGTTACGAACCATTGGGATTGTTTTGAAGGTACGGGCCCAGAACTCTATATCAACAGCCGAAACAATGGACAAATTTTCGCCAACCGCACGTATATCCATTGGTTTATAACAAGCTTGCAAACCTAGTTCATTAATCAATTTGCTATCAATAATAGTCTTGCTTGCTCCTGTATCGAAGAGAGCTACGTAAGGCACATCATTCATCAAAATACTAATGTGAAGCAATGAATCTGACTCAAGATTAAGGTTTACGAGTTTCCCTGGCGTGTTACAATACCCGGCTCTAGACGCCTTTTCTTCAGCGTTGCTTATTGACGTCGCATCATTCGTCTCAGCCTCAGCAGCAGGATCCCCAGCAGCGCAGTCCGAAGAGTGCAAATACCCTTCAGCCTCAGTCATTGCCGGCTCCTCGGTCGCCTCCGTGAGCGAAGAATGAGGTCCGGAATACCGGTTTCTCTTCCACTGCTGATGTTCCCGCGAGGATCGCCAAAATACTAAGGTCTTCTGAGGTGGAGATATTGTTTGTATCCCAGAAGAGCACTCCGATTGTTCAGGGCGTCTTTGTTTAAACGTCCGTTCGAACAATCTTTTCCCAAGTGATTGCCTTGGCAAGAAGGACAGCGCAAAGGTCTGTTTTTCTTCGGGCATTGGGCTGCAAATTGTCCTACTTCGTCACAGCTGTAGCACGGCTGTCTGGCTCTACACTTGTCTTTAAGGTGTCCAGACTTTCCACACCACCTGCAGAAATCGTCGTTACGGGTCCGGCGTCGTTGCCCCCGTAGAGGAAAACGCCGATTTGGAGGAGACCCGAGGCTGTTTGAGGCGACCTCTAGCCTATTTCCTCGAGTGGAAAATGCACGAACTGTGTCCTCAACTTGACATGCTGCAACTCTTAACTCCTCCCGCTGTGACGTCATCTAGGCTGATGCGAGCTGTCTCTCCTCAGGTCTCGTCCATGTCGCGCGCCAGCCCCATCAGAGATTTCCAGGGAAGTTTGTAGGAAAACCCTCGTTCGATGCGGCTATGGCGCTCAATAGTAGGGCAACGTGGGGCAGCGCGCCCCCCACTTTTTTTAAACTAAATTTTTGATGAAGTTTTAATTGATACGAGGTGGTTCTTTGTTTTGTTTAAAGGTGCAACTAATGAGGAATGTATGATGTGAATTAGACGCCTATGGAGTTATTCAATTTTTAATGAAATACTATTTTGTAAAAAGTGTCAAAATGGGCCCATTGCCCCACCCCTGGGGCAATGGGCCCATGGGCTTGGGGCAAGGCGCCCACCCTTGGTCCCTTTACCACAATTGCATATTTTTCGTTTAAAAATGATAAAACAACACTTTACATTTAAAAATNCTGCTGCTGCTGGGGGTTGACATGAGCGTCTGTATGGGTTGCTCAAGCGTCTGTATGGGTTACAGTTGCCAGCCAGCAGCCTAGGGCACATCAGTCTGCTGCTGCTGGGGGTTGACATGAGCGTCTGTATGGGTTGCTCAAGCGTCTGTATGGGTTACAGTTGCCAGCCAGCAGCCTAGGGCACATCAGTCTGCTGCTGCTGGGGGTTGACATGAGCGTCTGTATGGGTTGCTCAAGCGTCTGTATGGGTTACAGTTGCCAGCCAGCAGCCTAGGGCACATCAGTCTGCTGCTGCTGGGGGTTGACATGAGCGTCTGTATGGGTTGCTCAAGCGTCTGTATGGGTTACAGTTGCCAGCCAGCAGCCTAGGGCACATCAGTCTGCTGCTGCTGGGGGTTGACATGAGCGTCTGTATGGGTTGCTCAAGCGTCTGTATGGGTTACAGTTGCCAGCCAGCAGCCTAGGGCACATCAGTCTGCTGCTGCTGGGGGTTGACATGAGCGTCTGTATGGGTTGCTCAAGCGTCTGTATGGGTTACAGTTGCCAGCCAGCAGCCTAGGGCACATCAGTCTGCTGCTGCTGGGGGTTGACATGAGCGTCTGTATGGGTTGCTCAAGCGTCTGTATGGGTTACAGTTGCCAGCCAGCAGCCTAGGGCACATCAGTCTGCTGCTGCTGGGGGTTGACATGAGCGTCTGTATGGGTTGCTCAAGCGTCTGTATGGGTTACAGTTGCCAGCCAGCAGCCTAGGGCACATCAGTCTGCTGCTGCTGGGGGTTGACATGAGCGTCTGTATGGGTTGCTCAAGCGTCTGTATGGGTTACAGTTGCCAGCCAGCAGCCTAGGGCACATCAGTCTGCTGCTGCTGGGGGTTGACATGAGCGTCTGTATGGGTTGCTCAAGCGTCTGTATGGGTTACAGTTGCCAGCCAGCAGCCTAGGGCACATCAGTCTGCTGCTGCTGGGGGTTGACATGAGCGTCTGTATGGGTTGCTCAAGCGTCTGTATGGGTTACAGTTGCCAGCCAGCAGCCTAGGGCACATCAGTCTGCTGCTGCTGGGGGTTGACATGAGCGTCTGTATGGGTTGCTCAAGCGTCTGTATGGGTTACAGTTGCCAGCCAGCAGCCTAGGGCACATCAGTCTGCTGCTGCTGGGGGTTGACATGAGCGTCTGTATGGGTTGCTCATGCGTCTGTATGGGTTACAGTTGCCAGCCAGCAGCCTAGGACACATCAGTCTCCTGCTGCTGGGGGTTGACATGAGCGTCTGGTCGTTGGCTGCTAAAGTCGCCCTCCTACGCCACAACCCTCGGGCCCTGGACGCCGTGCTCCAGAACTATGCCATCGCTGGGGACAAGGTAGTTTATTAACTCAGTTAGACATCCTTGAATTATAAATCCTATATATATAAATCCTTCATAACCTTTCTTGAATTATAATTATTGACTTATAGCGCGAGCTCTGGACGCCGTGCTTCAGAACTACGCCATCGCTGGGGACAAGGTAGTTAATTATTATTAAAGTTAAACATCCTTGAATGTATAATCCTTTATAGACGCCGTGCTCCAGAACTACGTCATCGCTGGGGATAAGGTAGTTCATTATTATTAAAGATAAACATCTTTGAATTATAAATACTTTATAGACGCAGTGCTACAGAACTACGCCATCGCGAGGGATAAGATAGTTAATTATTCTTAAAGTTAAACATCTTGAAATATAAATCCTTTATAGACGCTGTGCACCAGAACTACGCCATCGCTGGGGACAAGGTAATTTATTATTATTAAAGATAAACATCCTTGAATTATAAATCCTTTATATATATGAATCCTTTGTAACCTTTCTTTAATTATAATTACTGATAAATTATATAAATTATTGAATTATTGCGCGAGCTCTAGACGCCGTGCTTCAGAACTACGTCATCGCTGGGGATAAGGTAGTTTATTATTATTAAAGTTAAACATCCTTGAATTATAAATCCTTTATAGACGCCGTGCTTCAGAACTACGTCATCGCTGGGGAGATAAGGTAGTCTATTAACTGAGTTAAACATCATAGATTTATAAATCCCTTGTATGTAAATCCTTTATAACCTTTTTTGAATTATGTTTATTGATGAATTATCTATATTATTGAATTATGGAGTTAACCTCACTTAAATTATAAATTTATGCACTCAGCTGCTATGTTTCGAATGGGGGCAAGACTGCATACTCTCCACACAAAACATTTACCACTATAGCAATTCATCTTACAGATATTTTATCATTATATGCATAGCAATTCACCATAAAAAATACTAAGTACATATAGTTTAGGTTAGAATTAATTAGTAAAGAATGAAATGCATTAATGATAAAATGTCTTCTATGATGAGGTGCCTGAGAACCGTTTCTGCTGTACAGTAAGTTCCAGGAGTTGACTCAGCCGTTATGTTCCGGTAATGCATAGAGCTTTTATTTTACGGTTAACAACTACTTGCAAGACGTACGACGGAAAATGATTTTTTTATGCTTTAAATAAATGAAATATTTCCGACAAATGATATTTAGTTGAAAATACTTGAGATTATAAGTATTCAATCACTTTAAAAGTGATTGACAACTTATAATTGACCAGTGTCGAAGTGTCTATCGCAGCTCTTAACGATTTTGATCATATTTCCGTTGAAAATTATAGAAAATTTATCATTAACGACACAGCGTGACGTCTACTAAATGCATGAACTAGAGGTAGGTTATGTAAATTATTCAGACATCGCTGAAGTAGGCTAGCAATGACAGCTCGGGTATAATGTTATTAATCATGCAAGGATATGTTAATTAGTCGTGGGATAATTGATTAATTAATAATCAGGGATAATGTTATTATCCTATTCATGCAAGACTGGCAGGTTACGACTGACTTTACGACTCGCAGCCATTGTCCACTGGGCATCTGACGTTGAAATAACTTGGATTCAACGTCGGATTAAAGGCACTGGATTGTCTTACCTGACCTCGTATAATTTATTTGCCAATGCAGCGAAGCCGGTCGCTCATGTGACTGACAAGTTTAAAGATTGCGGCGAACGTCCGGTGACAAACTGGTATATTTCTCACATGATTAAGTCTAGTTGGTTCTTAAAATGAGATATTGCTTACTTCTTGCACCCACCGCGCCCGCCATCCAAAACAAGGCTGTGGCCATAAATGATATCCCAATCATGTATCAGACTGAATTATTTTGCCGGCATTAACGTATAATCATTCGTACGATACCTGTTATTTCTATTACTACCAGTGCGCAAATGGCATCGTCCCAGCAAAACTTCAGAACCGACCAATAGAAGCTTCAGTTTAAAGGATATTCCATTTGCACATTAATGGCTCTAGTTTAACCGGGTTTTAGTTAAATATTAAACCCGGCTGACCTAGAGTTCTCTACAGCATGCGACTTTTCTCTAGTGGACAACCCTCTATTAAACTTTATTGTACAGTATTAGAGAAATATTATCCGGGCACTTGATTCGAATATGATAAAATATCCAGTTTTTTCAACTCGTTCGTTGTATTAAAGAAATATTATCCAGACACTTGATTCGAATATGATCAAATATCCCCTTTTTTCAACTCGTTCGTTGTATTAGAGAAATATTATCCGGACACTTGATTCGAATATGATCAAATATACACTTTTTTTAACACGTTCGTTTGATTAACAGGTGTGCAGCAGCGACTACGATGACGAGATGATGCAAGGCTTCGTCAACAAAGGTCTTGTGCCGCGTCTCGTCGGCACTCCTCTGTACGAACCTTGCTGCCAGTTTCTGGTGAGACTTCTTCTTCAACATTTTAAACAAGATAAAACCACACTATTAAACTGCTACGACTTGAAAAAATAATAACTAATAAAATAATAATAAACTAATAAATAAAAATAAAAAATTTAATAAAAATAAAAAATTTGATGAAATAATTAATTTGAAATGAAGCAGTAATAAACTAATAACGGGGCAGTAATAACTTCCCATAATTTAATTTGATGTATAAATAAAAGTTAGGCCGCGTTTGTTACCATTTATTTTATTATATTTCGCGGAAAAAATAACAACTATTCCCGCTCTGCAGATCCGTACGGGGGACAATAATGTGCTGCAGGGAGTGCTGCAGCAGCTGCAGGCGCGTCATCCTGCAGAGGCTGCAGCGCTCTCGCAGCGTGTAGCTGCCGCCAGACCTGCCCTTGACTCCATCTCTTCTGCCTTCAAGAAGGTCTACAGCAGACTCATTTAATTAGGGTGTCTACAGCTGACTCGTTTAATCTTTCGTGGTTTTACAGCAGACAAGTTTGATTCGTGAAAGGTTTACAACTGACTTTTTTAATTCGTGGGAAGTCTGCAGCAGACTCGTCTGATTCGTGGAAGGATTACAGTATACTAATCTGATTCGAGCGTCTGTAGCAAACTTGTCTGATTTAGGAAAGGTTTACGGCAGATTTATCCGATTCGTGGATGGTCTAATTCGTGAGCCTGCAACAGATTCGGCTGATGAGAAGAAAAAATAAATTATGAAAAAAATAATTTTTACATTGAAGTTACTTAAATTAAAATCCAGCTACACATCGGCAATAATGAAGTGTCGGATTGTTCTGTTTGAATTAGATGTAAAACGAAATGGCATTCGGATATTTTGAAGTTATTTAATAAAACTTACAAAATGTAGTTTGCGTCTTTATTTCCAGGTTTTTTCAGACTGGATGAATCGTTTCATTATTTTGATAAAAACTCGACTCTTAACAGGTATTTAGACAGGCACTGGGACTGATATCCTCTAAGCCTTGAGAATGAATTCCAGAAATTTAAAGCGACCAAAGCTGAATTTCCTCAAAGTAACCTCAATGTATCTAACAGAAAAATATTAGTATACATGAAAAATATTTTCAATCTTTTGTCTTCATAATAAAAATACATAAATTTATTTGTGCTCCATCTTACTAAAGCATCATACTTTCATACTTGTCCACACATTCACGCGGTGATTATTTCTGGCCATTAAGAGACTTTGGACTTGGAATTGGTCGTAATATTGCTAATCGAATAGAGGTAGGAAAAACTTCCTAACGATGGGAAGTGTCATGTCGTTCCCTCAGTGATATAGGTACATAAAAGCTACGCAATTTGAAAATACCTTCTCCAGGTTTTAAAAGAAACTAAAGATGAAGTGAAAAATAGCGGGAAGTATCGAAATCTGTTCACTGTTGTAGAAAGGCAGATCTGTTGCGATAGAATATAACATTTAATGTCCTTAAATGTCATGAAATTTATACATGATCGAAATTTCGGTAGCCGAACTGGAAACCCTGCTTCCTGTTGTTTCTTGCGCCGACGGTAATGCGCGAACGGGAAGGGGTGCTAGAGGGCAGCCGGAAGAAGAGGGAGATGGGCAAAGGTAAGGAGTGTGGCTAAAAAGGGGCCCTGCACGGGACTGTCCCACAGTGAGGTGCTGAAGGTCGTTGGGTAAAAGGTGCATACGAAAAGATTCTGCGTGGACTGGAGGGTCTTCCAGCTCTCGGGGAGCGTCTAGAGCCGCTTAAGCACACAAATGCTGAAAGCTGAAAATTTTTTTGTTGAAGAAAATAGTTTGTGGGCTTATAGAACTGTGACCTTCACGCAATTTGAAATTAATTAAGCACTTCCAATGACACTCTAAACATTAATTTTATCTGTTCAACGTCTACGAGTGCAATAAATCTTTACACTTGAATTGTTTTCAAGTATTACAGCTCATTGAAGGAGACGTAACAATTCAACAACTCTTTTGGAAAATATTGGTCGCTCGATTGCCGCCTTGCAGGTGTGAAAGGCAAACCGGCATGACACTCCAAATCGACACAATGCAACGTACCTCTATGGCACTAGACTTTTATGTACGTAGTTCCAATGATAATGCCAATAAATCAACAGGCGACGTAGTCGGCCTGCTGCTCGTCGTCGGGAATCACAACGAGTAAAGGTGCTTGTACACGAGGACAGTGCAGGCGACAAGTAGATCTGGCCAATGGCGGCCGCTTGGTGACAATCCGGCAAGTAAGCCTGTACACAAGGAGAGTATAAGGTGCTGCTATATCTTCTCGTTCGCGCCCGCCAGTGCGTCGTTAGAAGCCGTCGAGTGAGGTCTGTGAAACGATAGTGTGATCACCTTCAACAACTTGAGTCTGTACGATGTTTTTATACTCTTTATTCTAGCCTTTAAAAAATGCAACGTCGGGAACAACTAACCCCTGACTAATAAGGTCTTCTTTCAATTTCAAAATACGAGTTTTTCTCTTCATTTTGCTGGAGTTACGAACATTCCAAAGTAATTCATATTTTTTGGAATATCTCAAAGAACAATGGAACATCGTCTTGACTCCACTTTGTTGGGTTCTTCTTATTATCGTTCAAACAAGCCACGATTCACTTGACACAAGATACTTCTCAAGAGCGGCACAAAAGCTCTCACCAAGGCTGAATCAGCGCTACTGGCCCCTTCTCCAGCGAAGAAAACAACACATCGTTGTCCCTGTGGCCGCGTCTCGGGCACGTGCTACTGAAGCGGCTGAACTGTCCAAGCATGAACTGGCGGCCAGTACTTTCCCAGTGTAAAGGCATCTTAACGGAGTGCTAGCTTGCTGACAAGTCGGTCGGAGAGAAATAAGCCACAAAATTTAGTCATGCACATTGGAATCTGAGGAAGGGAAGCAGCCGCTCAACACATTCAAGCCAAGATCTAAAACCGGAAAGAGGGGATACGGAAGGATCAGTAAAGAGAAGGGCGGGAGCGTGTAGAGAATCAGATGTAATCGTCATTCGGTGGTGGTCGGATATCAACCGTTTTTCGACTGAGTTCGACTGACTGTTCGGGCTGGTGAAAACCTCGAGGCTGTGGGTTAACCTATAGCTGGCAAAATTTTAGGTTCAAAGTTAAAGTTTCAGTCGAACGACATCATAAATAAATTGAGGAGTACGCTCTTTCATAAAAGTTTTTACTACATTGACATTTTCCAAGCTGTTAGGAAGTTATAGCATTTCGAATGCCAGTTTGCGAAAATACTTAGTATACGAAAGTTTTGTTTTAAATTTTTGAATAAGTATCGTAGCATACGTAATTATTAACCCAGATGGGATATTTCATTCAATACATCAATTAATTAAAAATAAAAAAAATTAAGCTATTCGTAAATTCAATATGAATTACGAATGTATGGTAGATATATTTGTATACTCGTTATTTAATCATTCGTAAATGACAATCGGTCACGAAGTGAGTGACGCGTCGAATATCTATTGTCTCTCCAATCCTCTGAGAGCTGCAGGTCCAAACACGACACAATTAGACGGCTCGGCCGTCGACCCTGACTCGCTTCGGATCCAGAAATACGGAACGGATATAGCACATGCTACGTAATACTCCGATCCGATGATTTGCAGTGGGAGAAAGGTTCGCGTGTTTGTGTTTGCTTGTCTGGTATTTTATGAGGGTGAATTTTCCCCTCCGAGTGGAGACAACACTTTGACTGATTGAAATATTCGTCAAAGACAAAATAATCAACTAATTTTATCTCCATATAAAATAGTTATTGATAGTTTTGTTGATATCACAATCAGTAAAACAATAGCATTGAAATTATGGGAGATTTTGTATGTAAGTGAAAAAACAAGCCTGCAGAATTATAGTCCACAAATAGAATAGTTTTTTCGTTACTTAAAGTTTACTAATTCGAAAATTGGCACTCGGTAATAAATTGGTGATATTTTTTCATAACTCATTAGTAAATTCAGATCAGCCATTCGTTGACTGAACAGTTTAAGGAAATCAGCTTTAAGGGAATTCAAGAGATATAAACTTTGAAGAACAGAATAGATAGCTATTTGCTCTTTAGTGATATTGCCTTGGCAGCTGTGAACGGTTAGGTGTTAGTTAAAAAAGTTGGTTAGTTAGTTAAAAAAAATATTTCTCTAAAAACTGTTATTTTTAATGCTACAGCCCTAAGTTATTGGTATTTGTTCATTTGCGAATTTTTGCACACTGTTTTATGTTATTTGCAGATTGTACAGTTTTTGTATTCTTGTCGCTATCTACAGCTAATCTTCTTGTCACTGTCTACAGCTCGTACGATAGTTGTTATTCATTGTTAGTGTGCTAGTTGCCAGCTACTGCTGGTGCGCTAGTTGTTGTTTAATTCAAGTGCTGTAGTTGCTGTCCACAGCTCGATTGCTGGTAGCTTGTTACTACTAGTACGCTAGTTGCTGGCTACTTCTCAGGCGATGGTTGATGGCTACAGCTAGTGCGCTTTAGTTACCGTTACCTATATAGTACACTAATTGCTATTACAGCGTCGAAGCCTTGTTCCCATTATCAGTTATGGTGAATACTCTTTCAAATATTTTAATGTAGATTAAGATTGGTTTTTAATTTCTTACAATGGTTATATTGGGTATTGCGAAAATGAGACGAAACTTTATCAAAACAACTGCAGATCTAGCAAAGATTTAGGTAAACTGATTCTAAAGTGTAATTTTGAAACGATTTTATATGGAGTTCACTCTTCATGCCAATTAAACACTGTTATTCTTGGTCTCATTGATCCGTCTTTAATTTAAAGACTTGTATGGTTTCAGTCTCCGTCAATTTTTCAGTGAGTCTCGAAATTTTGTTTTCAGGTCATTCAAAACTCATCCCAAAGGAGCGGTCATAAACGGAGGATGGACTCTTTAACGGACAGTAAATAAATCCGTTTACTTGCCTATCCGGATGCCTCTCACAAATCTGGCTCAAATCCGGGGATTACAAGCCGGCTTTCGAGCAACCATTCGTCATCCTAACGAAGTCAAATGGAGGAACCGGCATGCCACTCCGGTTTGCTTTTAGTCCGGCCATTTGGCGGAGCAATGTGCATAACCGCGGGCACGTTCACGCCGTCCGCACTCACAAAAATAAGATATTCAAGTCCAAATTTCGATTCGGCATCGTACAAATATCGATGCACTTTTTGCCCTCATGTGGGTCATTCAAACCCAGTTTGGGCAGACCAAAGGGTAAATCTGCGCTATTTTCGCTCTCTGCTGGAGCTGTGGGTGAGAAAGTGCGTCACCATTTGAACAAAATTACCCATTAATTTTTCTGGGTGTAACGTCGATCAGGACGTACCGACCTTCAGGCAACGTGACCGCTGGGAGCATTTGACTTCCGCGTGCTTTTTAAAGGAAGATTTCCTGTTAATAATTCGTACCAGGAACTGAAGAAACACGGGAAAAATAAATATATATTGCGGTGGAATTCTGGAAACTTTTTTCAAACAAAATGTGATTTTAAATTTTTAAATATGCACATTGTTTTGATGATATTGCGATGCGGCTTTATTTTTCTGGAAGTCCAGGACTTTTAGGCGAAAATTAAGCGAGTAATTATTCCAAATTGGCTGTGAAGGAGGGAAAAGGTGAAAATTTTAGTCATAGTTTTCACAATATCATTTGCTCCTGAAGATTCACATGACTTGTAAAATAAGGAATAGATTTTTTAGCATAGTTAGCGCGGTCTTTCAAAGATGCTATCACTATGTTCTATTTTTATTTCCATAAACGAACCATGTATGGAAAATTGAACATCTGGCAGATTTGCATTACTGGTATTTCAGGCAAATTCTGAGAAGTTTTGTTGTCATAATGATCCAGCGACAACA